CCTGTAAGACAATAACTGAATCAATACAATCCACCCTCAGCTATCCTTCTCAAAAAAAAAAAAAAAAGTTTTAATTCATCATTTTTGTTTGTCCTTCAAAAGCATCTTAACTTTTGCATATTTCATCAGGTTATAGCCACAAACTTCACTGGATTTTATTATGATTTTTAAGGGATAAAAAAAGCTAAAACAATAGAGAGATCACATAATTTTTAAGTGGAAAGTAACTAATGGTGACAGATATTTGTATTTAGCCATCTGTCTAAAGACTGTCAAGCTTTACTCACATCTCCCAACTACCAAGTCATCTAGATCTGCCGCTGCCATTCTCTTCCTGCAGCCAAAAAGCATCCTGTATGTCGCCTCATCCATGGCAGCCCACCTCCACCCCCACCTCCGCCTACCTTTGACTCCATTTAGATTCCATTCCACCACCAGTGTTCAGTACTGGAAGGATAGATGGCTCTATGCTTATAAATCTGCCCATTTTTTTTATCATGAGCATTGCTCAGGTCTGAGTCTTCTGCCTGGGAACACATATTTATATTCATTCATGTCAGAAAACTGTCTTGTTGCCTGCTTGTCTCCTTGACAGTCTCTCCAGAATAAAATATAAGTGCAACCAATTTCAGAAATCCAATAAGTTTGTACAGTGGAATCGCCTTTGTGTAATTAAATCTGATAAATAAAGCTGCTCTTTCTACAAGTAAAATCTATTTACAAGATAACTGCTTGTTATACACTCCACTAAGAAAAATGGCCCAGGATTGAAGGCCATGAGGTGTAAATTGGTACTTTGGTCAGATGTGACTAAAATGACATACATGCTAAATAGTATGACAAGTGAATCACTAACACTGAACATAAACCTCAACACGGTGGCGGTGGGATCATTTGCTAGGGATTTTCTTCTTCTTCTACGGGGATTAGGAGGCTGTTCAGAGATAATGAGACCATAGATTATATAAATGTAGAGCAACCCTGGGAAAGGGTCTGTTGAGTGATGCAAAATGTTTGACACTGGAGTAGAGGTTTTCTTTCCAGCAGGACAGAACAAGCTAGCCAGAGCCTCTATGTCAGAGGTCATGGATTAGCGGACTAGGGTCCGGATCCAGACCCACCTGCTGGCGAATCTGGACCCAATCTGATTTAAAACATTTTAAATAACTGCATGTTGTTTGTTGACAGTGTCTAACTTCACTTGCACCGCTTCTTCTGTTATATGGTAAAGACTTCCAGAGCGCCGGGACCAGGCTACACATGATACAAATTAGCCAAAGAGCTGCTGTCAGTCTGGGTTGCTGCTGCTGCTACTTTTAGACACAGCAGGCAAACCTGTGGCAAGCCGGGCGATGGAAAAGTAGGAGAAGATGATGAGAAAAATAGAGCAGAGAAAGTGTGGACTGCTGGAAAGAAAAGTGAAATGGTGTGCTCAGAGATGACCCTGCACATTTTGAGTATGTTTGGCTCAACCTGCTGCTGTGAAGCAGGATTTTCCAAGATGAACATAAAATAAAATACATATCATCGCAGTCTCAAAATGAGCATGTTGATGTGTGCTTGAGAATGGCTTTGTCTTCATTTAAACCCAGGTTTAAAGCCTTGCAGGGCAGCATAAAGCCCACTGCTCTTACTGTATTAATACAGAAAAAAGAAAAACAAAAATGGTCAGTTCAGGTGTTTTATAAAATATGTGAATCAGGAAATTGTCTGTATACCAAACTGAATGATTGTTATTATCTACTTTAAAAAAAAAAACGAACAAAAAAACACTTTAGATTTTAAAATGGAAAAATGTTGAAAAATGCCAGATCTACTCTACTTCTGCTTATACCTGTAGATGCACTCCAGCGACTTATTTTTTTCCTTCATATTTAAATAAAAAAATGTTTCACATAATATTTTTGATCTCTGGTTGAAGATGAAGATATTTTTTGTGCCTTACATAAAATTATAGAGCTAAAGGTGTCATAAGCCAGTATTTTACTGCAGCTTTCTCTGTCTTATGTACACAGCAGCCACATTAGAATTAGAAGCCTGGTTTGATAAAAATGATGAACCATCACAGCAGAGGGACTGCAGCTTTAGGACTTTCTGATTCCCTCTGGTGCAAAAATTTCTACATTTTAACTTGAAATGCTTGAAACCTTAGACTTCTTGTCTAAATACATCTTTTTCTAAAGGACATTTTTTAATATTTTTAGAATCTGATTATTGCCTAGTCATGTTTGTTTTGGTGATAAGCTACAAAAAGAGGCAGACACACAGCTGACAAATATGACTTTATAATTATATGAGTTAGAGCAAACAAAGGCAAGGATTATAAAATATTATGAGGAAAGAGATGAATAGTGCAGTTTGGCAGAGTAGGAGCAACATGGCAGATATAAGAATCAGAATCACTTTATGAATCCGTTGCGGGAAATTCTTTTTTGCAGTGCATCCGCTTAAATTAGAGAGAAAATAAGATTGTAAGTACAGCATAATAGAGCAAAATGAAATATAATATAATAAGAGAAAATAAAAAGTCAAGTTACAACCCATACAGTAAAATTACACCCTTTCCATAAAAAAATTGTAAAATAAAGTATAAGGATGAAATAAGGAATATTATTTTGCATGACCATCAACACAATAATATAATGTAATGTAATGTTAGAGGTTGATTACTTTATTTTTCACAACCATTTATCAAAAAGTCATATTCAGGCTTTCATGAACTCAGATGGATCCATTTTGACTTTATACATGAAGGCTGTGCTAAATTTTAAATTTTTTAAAGTTAAATACAGTATTGATGACTATTTTGATATCAAAGCGTTTGGATAAGTTGTTTTCTAGCATTTTTTTTTTCTGTTTTACTGTTCTTAGATATATTTTCCCCTACCAAGACATTTTTAGACTCTCTAACGGATTTATAATCAGTTGTATTTTACCCAGGCAATAGCTTAAAGTCTAAATGTTTTTTTTAAAAAAAGGAATAAGATAATATCACATTTTAATTTCTTTTACCAACCTGTCATATCTGGTGGACTGAATGTATCTGCTTAGTGAAAAGTATTCATTGAAAAACTGATTGTTTTAAATATAAAATTTATTTTTCCTACGGAATTAGCATAGTGTTTTTAAATTGTACTGATTTGATCGCAGATGATCACAAATACTGTCAATATTTCAGTCCTGATTTACTTCCACTTTAGTTTTTATATATGTTATAAATTAAGTTCTATGAATATTTCAACCTTTTAAACACTAGATTTTTCTATAAATGCCTTCTCTTTGTTTTCAAAGCATGTGCCTACAATTTTAGAAGCATATAGTTTTGTTTTAATTTTAGGTGTAATAATTAAATATAATTTTTTTTTAGACATTTTTAATTTCAGATCTTAAATTTGATGCTGGTTTTACTTTCATATTAAAAGATAAAAATATAAATTATATAAAATAAAAATATCTTCAATAACAGGAGTATCTTCAATAACAGCAGTAGTTTTTTCTAAGGAGCTCTGATTTTGTCTGATTTTAAACAGTGTTTTAAAATTTGTTTATAGCCTGAAAAATTAATTGAAGCAGTTTGACCTTCATATTGTAAGTTGAAAAGACTAAGATTATACCGGGGCCCATTTCAAGCTTGCTCTCTGTCACATCACAGTGTTTCTCTAGTTGCATAATTATCGTATGAAGCTTGTGTTACAAAAACTGTTTTCAGATGAAAAGTTGTGCCAACAATGGATCCCCAAAGAAAGAACTTTAAATATAGCACTATATTGTCAGCACTGAACTTCTGTGGAGTTTTTATTATGTACTTTATTAGGGAATCGGATTTCTCACCTACTGGTAAATCAGGGTGTACAGCCTACCATCTTGAAATAGCTGCACCCTCAAATGCTCCAAGAAGTTTGATAAGAACTCCATATAATAAATATCTAACCTTTAAACCAGCATATTTTCAATCTGTCCTTTGATTTTAAACCCAAGATCATTGTTTTATTTCCCCTGCATTTATCGTTTAACTGGGTATAGTAATGTTTTAGAGAGGGCCTGATAGATACATAGCTTGAATCTGATGGAGAATCTGTGAAAAAGGTAAAAGATTAGGGTAATGGTAAAGAAGCCTCCCAACCTCTAAGGCTCAGAGTTTATATTTAGTTGCTTTATTATTTTTTTTTTTTACAGCTTCTTTATAAGGCAATAAAATAAATTGAAAAAAACTTTTAATTGATCAAAATAAAAAAAGAGTAGCGTTTTTTTTTTTCTAAATTGATACCTCCTGAATATTCCTTTATCCTCTTTTGAGAGATTCCTGTGAACCAGGGAATGAAGAAATTTGCAATGAACACTGTTCATCTGAGGTTTTTTTTATTTTTTATTATTGACTGCAGAAATGTGACGGTATCCATAGTCCACAGTGTGTGGCAGGAATTAATTAAAATGCTTGATGATTTTATTTTTGTTGTATGATAATTAAAACTTATTTTTTCAAGTTGTGAAGAGGTGATGAAGTATTAGGGCAAAAGGTTTCAGGGTTTTTTGTTTTTTTTTTACATTAGTGTTTTGTATTAAGTCTATTTCTATCTATTTTTCCAGCTGTAAAAAAAAAACTAAATTTGAATCAGCTGTTTTGCTCACTGCTTTAGATGTCTTCTTTTTCCTGTATTCTTTCTGTCTTACCATTTAGATGAAACACATATGTGTAATAAGAACTAACAAAGAGAAAACAAGGTAATAAAAACAGTGTAGTAAGAATAACAAATGTTTCATAACCATAACTTACTGCTGTGTTTTTCAAATATTTTTTTAACACTTTATAGATAAAATGTATCATAAGCACAGATACATCATGCATACAGCATCAATAAGTAAAAAATATATTATTGGATATTTTAACCCTTGATAGTCTCATTATTGTTTTAATCCTCTGTTAACCTGTGTGAGCTACATCTGCGAGGAATGACTTCTAAAATGCATTAACACACATTTCCTCTATTTTAATTCTAAAGGTAAACGCACCAGGAGACGATGAGAACAAGTTGACAGTGAGTTTGCTTTGCATGTTTCTATTAGAGTATAATGTGGGTTTTAGATGAAAACTATTCATTTCAAAGACATATGTATTTTGTTTTTTTTTTCTATAAATAATGTGAGATATATAAAGAATATATGTATATTAATTCTAATCTGTTTCTTTGGTTTATTGCTTATTTTACAGGCCAAACCCCGGCTGCAGAGGGAAGGCAGCTGTGCATCGCTGCACAACTCCCTGATGAGAAACAGCATCTTCCAGCTCATGATTCACACACTGGACCCCCTCAGTAATGAAGGTACACAACGAGAATAAATTTAACATATTAGGTCTGTTACAGGTGCTATAAATCAATTTAATCTGAAAAACAACTAACATTAAAGGTATAGTGGAGAATTTTAACAAATTTTAACAAAAGACCCGCCCTTTTAACTTAAAATAAATGCACTTGCACAAATCTTTACCCGCTCCCTCTATTAAATGCAAGAGCATAGATGAGCCCATTTCTCCTCGTGCACGCTCTGTTTAAAAGTTGCTGTTCTCATCGCTCATACACGCTTACTTCCCAAAAGAAGATCTGCAATTTTTCCACTATGTCAGACTCACAACCGGTAAGTGAAAATGGGGACGAGCACGTAGGACAGCCTTACGTAAAAGCATCACCAGAATGATTGACAATTAGGAGGACCATTTATTTTGATGATCCACCTGGAAAAAGAACATCCTCCACTATACCGTTAACGAAGTAGACGCTGTGAATTATACATGTATTTAATAGTTTACTCAAGTAAAGAAAATATAGGTGACATTTGTTGTGTACATGTGTAAATAAAAACAACTCTTTGATTTTGTTGTTGATTAAAAATAAACTTTCTTCCCTAAATCCACCTCTCTTGCATGGCTCACACTCCTCATTCTGATCTGACAGAAGCATCTGTGTCCTCCCCTGCAGGGCAGTTTAAAGAGAAGGCATCCATCCTCCACAAAATGGCCAAAAAGAAGTGCAAAGAAGATGCTGCCACTGCCAACGGTGTAGGTGTGTAACGGAACAGAAAGTCACACTAGCTGATTTATTTGTTACTTAAAAAAACTCACTATTTTGTTTATTTATTTATTTTTTTTTTCTCCTTAAAGTTGATAAAGCCTCCCAAAAAAGTTCAAAGGTTGCTGTGGAGGTGACGCCCCCCATGAATGGAGTGGCAGTAGGAGACCTGGTATGCTGTTTTTCTACATCTGTCTTTACACATTGATTCAAATCTGCATGACGTCTTTGAATAAATGAAATTTATACTTACAAACCTTGCAATGGGGATATTTGCTTAGAAGATAGAAAATTTTTTTTATCCATCATACAGTGTCAGACATTTACCTTTTCCTTAGGAGGGGGAGGAAGAGGAAGATGAAGACCAGCCTCTGAGCTTGGCCTGGCCTGATACCCTCAGAAAACAGATCACCTATCTCTTAATCCTTCCCATCATCCTTCCCCTTTGGCTCACATTGCCAGATGTCAGGAGAGAGGTGAGTAAAACCACATTTTTCCTACCAAATTCAATCTTACACAATAAGAAATTATACTTAGCGTAATCCCTTATTTTCTAAGTTACACTTTTTGGTAACTTGTCTATAAACACCACTTTAAAGCAAACAAGGCAAACATGTGAGGTCAAATGTGATCAGGGCATCTGCAAGTTTTACTTCTGTTTAAAGCTGAGTTTAACAGATTCATATATATATATATACATATGTATAAATTATCTAATGTTGCCATGCTTTTTTTTATATGTTACAGACTGAAAATTTTGTAATAAAAAGTCTATTAGTTAAATTAATAAAAAGTTCTTAAGTTAATAAGCTAAGTATAACAGTTAAAAGCTATTGAAAAAAAGGTAATAAGCTAATTTTAAAAGTACAAAAAGTCAAATTCCTGTATCAGCATTACTGTTCTGAGGAGTGTTAAAGGGTTGATGTATTGAGATGATCCAGCACCTAACAATAATTGGACAATTTTAACTTTTCAAGGATAATTGAAATCATTAAATGATTTGAATTGCGCAACCCTGTACCTGCTCCCGGGGGTGAATGCTAATTAAAACTAGTGCGAGAGCGTGCACGTGCCCATTTCTCCTCGCACACGCTCTGTTTAAAAGTTGCTTTTCTCATAGCTCATACAAGCTTACTGTGACCGAATGTCCGCCCTAACCCATAAAATCCCTCAATCACTTTATAGAGCGGGGACAATATAGTGAACTTTATAGTGAACGCAGTTGACTGTTCAGACAAATGATCACTTTGATTTGACAAATGATTACTTTTAGCTCCGTTGGTCACGTAACTCCTCCTCCACTATGTAATTCCTGCACTATCTCTGTTATTAGTCGCCGCTGTCAGGTAGCAACAGCCTATGGTTACAGCGGGCGCTGTAACTGCAAATCCTATAACGTTTTACACTTTTTTCTCTTACGACCCTCAACCATTTGAGAAAGGTGAGCTTCAATGGCTGTCTGAAACCGTAGCTCACCACAGATATACACCTGAAAGTGCGCATGCATAGAAAAAGATAGCTAACGGGACGAGCACGTAGAACGGCGTTACATAAAAATATCACCAGAATGATTGACAATTAGGAGGACCACTTATTTAGATGATCCACTCGGTAATAAAAGATTGTCCTCTATACCTTTAAATGTGTCCAGATATACATCTGGAAACATATAGTGGTTCATATGTTTAGAGTTGGAGTGATAAGAGCTGAACCACCTGGAGGTGGAAGAAGGAGGAACAACACTTGCCATTAGATTGACAGTTTACATCAGTAATAAAATTACAATTCAGTTTCACGTATCATTATTTAAGCATTTTCTTTTCTTTTCTGCATAAAACAGCATTGGAATTTGATAAGCCTAATATTTTCACCAAAAAAGCAGAGATATGGTTAAAAAAAAAACAAACAAAAAAACTTGAATAAACTGATTTACATTTAAACCAATACTTGTTTGACAACAGATATAGGAAATCAAGTTAAACATTTACAGCATTTTAACTGTTAAATGCTTTAAATAATATCTTATACCTACTCTAAGAGCTATGGTTTGTCAAAAATAAGACATAAGAAAAACAATTTAAAAAAGAAAGGCTTTTTGAAAACAATATAATTGTTTTCAAAAATATTAAAAATAAATCAAAAAGAGCTTCTGTGCATTTCAGGACAGATACACTATGTTGAATTATGCTGAGCTCCCCATAAAAATTTGAGGAGCGGTTTTCTGATGTATGGCTATGAAATAAATAAATAAAATCATAGGCCTTGATTTTCACAGCTCCAAGCTTTTTTTTGTTGTTGTTGTTGTTGATACTCAGTTAAAGTTAGAAATAAAATTACAATAAAACAAAAGTTCAGTTGAAGTTATAGAAATTCTGAATGTTTTTTCTAAGTGGTGGCACCAAATATTTTTGCTGCAAAAACAGCCTATTGAATGAGCTGTTGTTGCTATGGTGATATTTTACAGTCATCACTAAAGACAAAATTTCTGTAACATGCTAAGAATAAAATCATGACAACTATTTAATATCCTGGATTGTTTCTCATTTGTATGATCATACTCATGACACTGACTTTAAACAATACAGGCAGTTCAAAGAGACACATTAGAGTCTCTTTACACACTGAAACGACCTGGAAATAAGTAAAAATGTCTTACATCAAGTGTATTTACTTATAATTTCAACAGGTAAATAAGATGATTTGCCAACAGATTACTCTTAAAATAGGATAATTAGATGATATGCACTTAAAATAAGACAATGCAATGTTTTTTTCTTATTTTAAATGTAAATTGTCTTGTTCCATTGGCAAAGTGTCTCACTTACCTCCTCGATTCAAGAAAACATGCATTTATTTTAAGAAAAAATAAAAAAAAGTACATTTTTTTTTACAGTGTATGGTAAAAAAAAAAAAAACCCAAATGCTATAGATGTTCAAGTACTTTGACCAAACTATTACTGTTCCAGCAAATACAATAAATATATTAACACATGAAATATGTGATGCTGATGGTAGAGGAACTATAATAAGTGTGAGATAAATGTAAAATACAAAATGTTTTAAGTTATAGACCTTCATTCAAATGTTAAGTTTGCATTTTTTAAAATCCTGAAATATTTTAATTCCTTTTCTATAAAAGCTTCAGAAATAATAACGAATCAGTCAGGTTCCGTTTCCTGCAGCTTAAAGGTTTTAAAGTTATTGTTTTTTTGTTGTTTTTTTCTAGACATCTCAGAGGTTCTTTCCAATCACTTTCATCGGCTCCATCTGCTGGATTGCTTTCTTCTCATACCTGATGGTGTGGTGGGCTCACCAGGTAACTGATCAGCACAAACACACTCAAACATCAATAGCAGAAGTTATTGGTCTCACACACACATCACACCACTTCTCTGCTACATTACACTAGCAGCTAATTCTGATTAAACAAAAATACTGTAGATCAGCCTGAAAATTATAGATTGATGCACAAATAGAAGGAGAGAATTGTTTAAAAGATTGTCAGCTGAAAAGATCAGCTGTAGATGCAGAACATCTTAGCAAAAGTTTTTCATTTATGATTATAAAGTAGAGGGAGTAATTACAGATTTAACATTGCAGCCACAGCAGGATGGAAGAATTCAGTATATGTTCTAGATGTTCTTAGGGAGAGAATTGCAGATAACATCATGAAAATAGAAATTTGTCCTTGTATTGCATTAACCGGATAAAAGTTACTGTGCTTTAGGAGGAATGGCATCCTGCATCAGATTAGAATGAGCCAAATAACTCAGAGAAAACATTACCATGCCAACACAGTCCTTCATGGGGAGGAATTTTGTACTTTTTAAATAATTATTGCTTTACATATATATGCTATTTTATTCTGTTTATTCTCGGTTTACAAAAAGAAACTGTAATATAGCATCAATGCACAAACTTTAATCTGAATAAAAACAAGCCTTATCTCTACTTGTGCCACAGGGAAAGTTTGCAAATTATTGTGCAGTTATTTAAGATACAGACATAGTTTATTTGTTTAAAAAAGCTTCTAAAAAATATTAGTATAGTGGTCATATTGATTGTCATTCCTAGGGAACGAAGGAACTGAAAGTCTTTTTTGAGTCCCGTAATTATTTAGTATAAACTCATTAAGTTGTATTCTTTAAATCAACTGTCCAAAGAGTTTATTCAGTTAAAAAATGTTCCCACAAATTACTCCAAAAGGAATCCCAAAGGCAAATAAAGTGTTCTAAAAATTCTATTTAAATGTGAACCTGTACAGACTGTTTTTAATGCTGAGCTACTGATTGAAAGTGTGAAAAAAGAATAGCACTGATGATTTAATACAGGAACGTTAAGAAAAATGTTTTCATCTTTGCTTTATTCAAGGTTGGAGAAACTTTCTGGATCACAGAGGAAATCATGGGTTTGACCATTTTAGCAGCAGGCACATCCATCCCTGACCTGATCACAAGTGTGATTGTGGCAAGAAAAGGCCTGGGTGACATGGCAGTGTCCAGCTCCGTGGGCTCAAACATCTTCGATATCACTGTTGGGTACGTCCCCCATTGAATATTGTCTAATAGATACTAATTAAATCTCTGTGAATACCTGAGCATCTATATTCTTCTCTCTTCCACCAGCCTGCCTTTCCCATGGCTCCTCTACAACATCATCAACGACTTCAAGCCTGTGGAAGTGAGCAGCAACGGCCTGTTCTGTGCCATCGTCCTCCTTTTCCTTATGCTCCTCTTTGTCATCATTTCCATCGCGGCTTGCAAGTGGAGGATGAGCAAGATCCTGGGCTTCCTAATGTTCCTGCTCTACTTCGTCTTCCTGGTGGTCAGCGTCATGCTGGAGGACAGAGTTATCGTGTGCCCAATCACCATCTAAATGAGGAACTCCTGCTGATGAACTGAAAGCTGAAATTTGCTCTTTAACAGTGCAATAACATACGACCAGTTGTATGTTATTACAACATGCTCATCATAAATAACTTTACTGCATACACACAAACACTATATATATATATATATATATATATACATACATATACATACATATATATGTACACATGTACACACTTACAAGCTGATGTGGATCAAGCAGAAGTTTTCTTTTAAATGAATGCTGCTGGTTCAAGCTGTTGCATCATAGCAGTTTCACAAAGCCATGTAGGCCTATTGTTTAGGCCTCCCAATGAGGAGACTCTTTGCACTGTGTGAAACATCCAGTCAGGACTGTCTGAGACCTGCTGAAACAATTAATGGAGAGACAATGGAAACTGGATGATGGGGAAAAACTTTTCTTTCAGAATGAATGACAAAAACTGCAACAGTGAAAAAAGAAACTCTACCAGTCAGTGAAGTCATTACGAATATAAACGATATGGACACTCGAAGAGACATGTTATCGTTTCAATGCCAGAGGAGCTTTGGCTTTGAGATCAAGGAAAGTGTCATAGAACAAAAAAAAAAAAAAAAAAAAAGAATGGCCAAGGGAACTTATTTTTGATAGCTGCTTTTTTAGACTTTGAGATGTAAAGAGTATACAAAACTTCAGATTTTGGTTTGCAATATGATAGAATAATACAGTTGATTGTCAATGATTTGACGTTGGTTTCAGATAACGCTTCATGTTCACCCCATTCATGATTTACTATGCATTAAATATTGAATAGCTTAACATACCTTGGTTTTCTTTACATCTGCTTCTGAGTGCTAAAAATGGTTGGAACATAACTCTCCATTCTGGCTGCCTTTAAGTGCACCACTGTAGAAAGGGAAACACGTCAATATCCTGGTTTTACTGAAAATACTTGATGGCAGAGATGTTTGTTCATTTTTTGTTGTTTTTTTATGTGCTGACCCCCACAGATGCTATTTAAATCGGGGGTGGGTTGGCCACCGCAAGTCTTGTCAGTGGGGAGTGGGTGCGCCCCCGTGAAGCTACAGTCCAAGCAGCTGGTTGGATACTGGTTGTTCACTACTGGAGGGTAAAAAAGTATTGTATTTTTTATCTTAGCTGATTGAAGGGGTCTCTTTTTTTAAGGAATCTGGATTATATTTCATCATATTATTCTTCACTTAATAGAGTTCCTCAGAAACATAGTTTAACATTTATGAAACATTTAATCTATATCTAAAACCTCAGAAATGTCATTTTCTTTGTTTTTTGGCTTCACAACCGGTCAAACCTGGACTGAAATATTTTTCTATGATTAAATATTCTTTATATCACAGTTTTAAATTGTGAGATCTGTAAAACATTGTGAAAAAACTGTTCTTCGGGTGCAGAAGGAGGTGCTCGCCTACGGTGCCCTTCTTCCAAGAACTGCCCCTGAGTGAGGGACCAAAGATTAGCCCCATCTTTTGTGTCATTCTTGTTTAATTGTTTAAATTTTCTTTTTTTTATTAAGGATTCATAAAAAAAATTGAAGAGTTTCATATGAGCGAGTAATTCGGATTTTTTGTTGCTAATTACTTATGTTAAACAGAATATACGTACTGTAATTTATCTCCGGTGTTGTTCACTATGACTTCATTGCCATCTGAAAGAGGAGGTTGTTTTCTTTTGTGCACGTTAAGTCAGAAATATCCCTACAGTCAGTCTGTGACCCAGCTCAGATTCTGGGACTAGAGTTTAATGCGGTGAAACAATGTGTGCACGTAGAAAATCTCTGTCTTTTTCATCTTTTTCTTTTTAAATGTATACAGACTTTCAAAAGAGACTTAATAACAGCAACAATTGCAAATACTTTAAGCATGTACTGATGTTAATAAAAAATATGTTGATGTTCTACAATAAAATAATCCCTCTCTTTAAGTGCATTGTTTCTGGGATTTTTTTTTAATTAGGTTTGTGTTTTTATAAAGCCAGGAAAAACTAATCATGATATGATAACAAATAATTAATAAATAAATGCACTTGAATGAAATACATGCTCGGATTGTTTCCATATAAAAGCTTTAAGCACCGCTGATTTTCAGCAGTTTCTGGTTAAAAAGTATATATATATAGATATATATATATATCTATATATATATAGATATATATATATACAATACATCAAGAGAATGTCAAGAGTGTGCGAAGCAGTAATCAAAGCAAAAGGTGGCTACTTTGAAGAACCTACAATATAAGACATATTTTCATTTGTTTCACACTTTTTTTGTTAAGTATATAATTCCTCATGTGTTAATTCATAGTTTTGATGCCTTCAGTGTGAATCTTAAATTTGCATAGTCATGAAAATAAAGAAAAAGTTGAATGAGACTTTTGAATGAGAAAGTGTCCAAAAATAAAACTGGAACAGATCTGTTCGTATAGAGATACCCTCAAATTAATTGTAAGAAAAAACGTAGGCCCTTATATGATCTGATATTTACGGAAATGTCTAGAATGTTAAATTACATGAACCCTGAGATGAAAGTCATCAAAAATTCAGTTTAATGGCTGAATAAGACTTTTTTATTTTCATATTTGTGTTTTCCTACCACACTGCAAACTGATCTGTTTTATACACACTTAAAATGTTTGTTTTTGAACAAAATTGGACAATAGGCATTTATCATGCTTTTTCTTTACTGAATATGTTTTATTAACAAATAGAATAAACAGTAATTAATGTAATCACTGTTCTACCCATTTATATTCCACCCAATCTTTACATTTCCACACAGTTTAATAAGTCATGCTTGATCTAAGCAGATGTATAATCTAAAGGTATAAATACTGGTTTACTGTACATAAGTAGCTCTTTATGGTGAATATTTATTTTCAGAGGACTTTTACATTCACTCACTACATTTGATCACAAATATCTGTACTTTCTACTCCTTATTTTCTCAAAGTAGTCGTCTTGCTAAAAGTATTTAACTGCTCATGCAGGATGTCAGTCCAGTCGGGTCTATGTTCTCCTACCTGAAATTTTAATTCAGAACAAAACTTGTCAGTTTTTTATGTTCTGTCTACGAACACAGAGAGCAAAATAGAAAAAAATTGAATCCATTTTCTGAGCATATTTTTTCAGGAAGATATAATGTTTAGAAGTTATTTTGTATAACTTAAGGCCAAAGTGTGTTGTAGAAAGTGTACTTTTTAAAAATTCAGTAAAGGAGTTCATTCTTTACTTTTACCAGTCTTTGTTTTTAAACAGGTATCTGTACTTTTACCTAAACAAGGTATGTAAGCGTGTTTGACACCATTGGATTTTAGGCCAATATTAAGGAAAGCGTTTGTTAACTGAGTTTCAGGGTTTTAAGCTAATTGATTAGTTTATTCTGCAGTTTAAGCTGTTTTTCTACAACCCATTTCTCTTTATATATGAATCACTTGAATACAAGAAACAGTCGTATGAAAGGGTGATAATGGGATCCCCATTGTTCTTATCTATTAAAAACATATGGAATCATATTTATGCAGTGTTAAAATCCTACTGTAAAAATAAATGTCTTATTTCGCTAAAATATATAAAAATAAAAATAAAACGAAATTGCAAACAATTTATCCATTTGTTGCATTAAACCTGTCACCTCCCTTTAAAATGGATCTAAGATTAATTTAGCCCTGGCACCTGTGAAACTGCTGTATCTGTAGCATTGCATACCTAAAGTATAAAGTAAACATTAAGCTTCCTTTTAACATCAGTCAGATTTGCAGTGTCATCTACCAGTTTTCTGCAGGGCTTTACTTTGACACAAGCTCCTTACAGAGTTATAAGTGGCCTGCTGCCATAATGGGCACGATGGGGCAGAGATTAACTGGACATCTGAGGACAGCAAGAATACTCACCTGTTCACCTTTTTATCCACATGCCTTTTCCGTGACATCTGAGGGCATGTGCTGTCCTTGTCGTCTAATGGACGACATAACAACACAGAGGCTGTTACTGTGTGGGTTATTTTCTCAGGGGAAAGACAATTAGTTCAGACCATCTTCCCTGATATATCAATACAAAGGTTCTCATTAGCTCCCTGACAGATTAACTATTCCAAATAGGTCTGTAAATAATTACTGGTGCATATTCAGTTGGATTTTTCATTGTTTACAAAGAAGATTAGACTTAAAGTGCCTTATAAATTTCTTTTAGGAACATTAACATTTCCATATTTTTGATTATGGCTAAAATAATATTATTAAATAGATTGCACTTGAAATAAGATAATGGAGATGTTTTACCCTTTTTTTAAGTGCACAGATCATTTTACTTTACCTACTAAAATCAAGTGCACTTATTTAAAGAAAAACTTAAATAAGACAACACTTGGGTCACTTTTTACAGTGTATGTGTGCAACTTACAGCAAGACCAACAATCATAAGAAAAGTCACCAATAAACTTGTAACTCTGGAGGAGCTGCAGAGATCAACAGGTCAGGTGGGAGGATCTACAGACAGGGAAACCGTTAACTGTGAATATCAAATAATTTACCTCTATAGATATCAAGGAATATGAAAGCTATTGTAAAGATAAAGCCTCCTTTCTGTTTAAGCATATCACAGGGCATGTAGGCAACAGCAAATGGACAGAAGAATGTGCAGTTGTAAGGAAGCACAACTGATATATTTTCAAATATACTAGGTCTGACATTGTTATTGCAGGTCATTCTGAGCAAACTGTTGGTCAGGGTGGCTGCATTGTGCTGTGGAAAATATTTTCTCAGATGGCACTGGAAGAATTGCCCAGAGTTCAGAGAAAGCTGCAGCATTACAGCCCTGTTTAGGTATTTTAGTTAACATACACTCTGTAAGACTTGTTCTATCAAGTTTTAGATTCAAAACTTAACCATGAATGATTGTGGGAGGTAAAGTTACAGTGTTAAAGTCTTCTCTTTGACAATTTTATAATATCAACCCTCATTTATTTAACCGAAAGAGTTAAGTAAAGTGGGGGTTTTAAGTTAGCAGTGAAAAAAAGAAGAAAAATACAGGAATGGGAAATGAATAAAGTCCGTAAGCTTTAATACCAATACTACAATATGTAGAGAACATCATCGATTAACATTAAATAAAAACTTCTCACTAAAATTTTCAGATTTCAAAACAAAAGTTCTTCAATTTGAAATGAAAAATTCCTTCCTTGGATATTCTGCCAAACCAAGGATGTTCTTCTGAGAAGTTTTTGTGTTTTGAGGCTTCTGTTAGCAAATTTACCATTTAATTGTTTAATCCTTTATTCCTTCTCATGTCTTTTTACAGATAGAGATGCAGGAAAGGCAGCGTTACATGGGGACAATTCTGCACCCTAAGCTAAATGTGTGATCTTTTTGGTCAGATTTTAATGTTGTGAACTCATTCTATTTTATTTAGACAAACAGTTCAGTCAAGAATTTTATGCAAGTTTTAACACAGGTTCCCTCATAATATGTTTAGTATAACCTATGGAGATATTGTTAACTTAAATTCAACAATTGCTTTGATACAGCTGTTAGGATGTAGTTGTCAGGTAAAAGGTGTGTTTGTATGTTTACTGTGACATAAATACTTACCTTACAGTTTAAAACTGAACAACTTGTAATTCTAAGTTAATCTTTAAGGACTTAAGCAAACAATCTTTGGGAAGCGTTTATCTTGCTGTCATTTTAACTTAAACAACTTAAATGTCTGTTTTTAAACACAGAAAGTACTCTAGTTTACATCAAGTTATTGAGGTAATGGGGGAAATATTATCTAAAGGTTAAGCTTCCTTCAAGAAATTAGCAGGACTGAACTAAACAGAGATGGATCTTGAAGAAAATCTTTAGGAAACTAAAAATACTGATGGGTCAGAAAACTTACACCACAAAAAAAGTACATATTTCTTGAGAGAAGTTTATTTCCCCTGATTTGAGTAGGTAAGTAAGACAATTTCCAAATGGAATAAGATGGTTAAGGACTAAAATAGGGAGAAAAAAAAAAACACAATATATATTTATCTCATTTTAAGAGCAAAAATAAATATTCCTTCGAAAGCTAATTACATTTATCTGCTCAAATCGAGGGCGAGTACACTTTTTTTCTAAAGAAAATCACTGTTTGATCTGTTTTTGTTGTGTAATGCAAAATAAATGTATGATGTGCTGTCAGATTGTAACTGATTTGTCCGTTGAAACAATTTTAATATTTCATCTTTACAATTTACTTTTTACTTTTTAAAATTATTTTAAAATTCCAGTTAGCTTTAAACTAGTACCACGATAGGATCACAGTTTTCATCTGTTACACCAGGGGTCTGCAACCCTTTTTTTGGCTCACTTGATGCACTAAATTATGCACTCTTGGCCAGTTTCTTGCGTTGTTGTTTTTCTTGTGCACCCGTTAAAATAATACTGGCCCAGCTTGTACATTTTTAGAACCATCTCTGTACAAAACCCAAAGAAACTGGAATAAATTCTCTGACTGTTCATTTGATCTTGTTTGCCAAGAACAATTTACAGTCTCTTAATTTGAAAAATCATCAAATTCTTGCTGATGCATTTTTAGTGAAAAGCTTATATTAATATATAAATCAATCACAATGATATTTGTGTTACTGTAATAAAATATAGAAATTTTTTTGTTGTTGTTTTTTAACCACTGTATCCTGACCTTGCATAAGTTTGCTGTTCTGTTCTCACTCCGAGTCGGCAGGTGGCAGCATTACATCTAAACTAAAACGGAAAAGAAAAAAAACAACGGAAGCCTCTAGCTGTCAATTATAAAACAACAAGATGCTGCACTAAAACTAAGACGAAAACCTCTTTTTCCAGGAGCAGCATGGATCCGTCCCAGTCAGAGGGGGTCTCCGCTGCCGACCCTCCGGTAGATCAGAGCTCCAAACCGGAGCTTTCTGCCGCCATGCGCGCTAAAATCGAGAGGAACCGCCAGCGGGCTTTGATGCTCCGCCAAGCACGACTGGCGAGCCGTCCTTTCTCCTCCCTGGAGGGGGCAACCACGGCCAAAGTTTCCAAGACGATCGACTCGGGTGCTGGTTTCTTTATCGACGAAGAGGAGGACGGAGAGGATGAGCAGAAAGCCAAGAATGTGGTTCATCAGCCAGGTGTGGTTGTGGAGGCAGCTGTGCCTTTAGTCTGTCTGATCAGGTTGTTTCTCCCTAACATCTCCTTTTGCTTTTCTGTTCTCAGCCCCGGTGATTGAGCCAGACTACCTGCTCTGTGATGACTGCCAGAAACCCTTCATGGACTCTTTCCTCAGCAACAGCTTTGACTTGTCTGTATGCGATAAATGCAGGTAGAAACACTGATATTTTAACAACACAGAGTTCTTCAAATATTGTTCCAGCAGATCTGATGGAGAGCAACACTAATGTTTTGGATCAATAGCCGGACTTTGACTTGGCCATTCTGACACTTATATTTGCTTTGGTTTGGTCTTTTCACTCTAACATGTCTGGGAAGGTTTGCAGTTGTTCCATAATCCTTATATTTCTAATAATCCATCAATAAAGCTTTTTGCCAGATGTTCAGGTTGGGGCACAGTTTTATGTAAATCTAAATCCCTCTGCAGTAAACCCATCCCCCTGGGAAGCAGTGGGCTGCCACTGTTGACGCCCAGGGAGCAGTGTAAGGTTAAGGGTCTTGCTCAGGGACCCAGAGTGGCAGTCCATGGGAGTGTTTGGGACTTGAACTCAGAGCCTCTTGGACCCAAACGAAATGCTCTAACCACTAGGCGACCACTCCCCCTAATTGTAAACTGTGTGCAGAATAATTAGGCAAGTTGTATTTTTCAGGATTGTTTTTATTATTGTGCCACAATTGTGTTGTGGATCAACCCAAAAGTCTCCTTAATATCAAAGTGTCATATTTTTGGAAGTTGTTTTGTTTTTTTTTTTTTTTTAAGTCTCCTTAATATCAAAGTGTCATATTTTTGGAAGTTGTTTTGTTTTTTGTTTTTTATTTGGCCATTTTATGAGTATGTCTGTGTGTGCAGGTAAACATTACTGTGCAGAATTATTAGGCAACTTAATAAAAAAAACAAATATATACCCATCTCAGTTGTTTATTTTCACCAGGTAAACCAATATAACACCTCAAAATTCTGAAATAAACATTTGCAACATTCAAAAACCAAAAATAAAACAAATCAGTGACCAATAGAGCCACCTTTCTTCACCATGATGCTCAAAAGCCTTCCATCCATAGATTCTGTCAGTGTCTTGATCTGTTTGCGATCCACATTGCATGCAGCAGCCGCCACAGCCCCCCAGATACTGTTCAGAGAGGGGGACTGTTTTCCCTCCCTGTAGATCTCACATTTCATGAAGGACCACAGGTTCTCAGTGGGGTTCAGACAAGGTAAACAAGGGTGGGGGGGGGCATGTCATTTTTTTTCCCCTTTTAGAGTTTTTCTGGTCAGTCAGATGCAGACCACCTGATTTACTTAATTGGTAGTTGGCTTTCAAGCCTTTACACCTTGGAGTAGGACAACATGTATGAAAAGGATGATGTGATCGAAATACTCATTTGCCTAATAATTCTGCACACAGTGTATTATAAGCTAATTGCTTTAAACGTCTGAGATGTCTGACAGAAAGGCTGTGTTTCATATTTGTATAAGCAAAAATACGCCAATATTTTATTTGAGCCTTTAGTTTGTTGAAAACCTCGTGTCATGAGCTCTGGAGTTTTGGATGACTTTGCATTTGATCCTACAAAGTGAAGATGAAAGACTTTGTTCTCAACAGAGACAATGAGGAAAAACACAAGCTGATCTCCAGAACGGAGGCCAAGCAGCGCTACCTGCTGAAGGACGTAGACTTTGACAAGAGAGAGCCCCCTCTGAGGTTTATACTCAAGAAAAACCCTCACAACCCACGCTGGGGGGATATGAAGCTCTACCTTCTGCTGCAGGTGATCAGCTTCCTCAGAGGAGATTCACACTCTAGAATTACCAAAACTGCTCCTAATGTATTTATTCTTTAGCTTTTAGGATCCAAACCCTCTGTAGAACTTAAAGTGGTTTTTGATGAGAGAAGTAAGGCATTTATATATCTTTATGATGGACAGATCAGCAAAAGGAAGAAACAAAAAACGAGCAAACAGGCTGAATGTTGCGCTGTTTAAAGGAGCAACATTTTGATTGAATTAAAATGTTAGTCTGAATTAGTTAGGCCTCTTTGTCTCCTAATGTATAACACTTTTCTTACAGAAATTCCAAGTATGGATTAGCATTAGGGCTTAACCAATTAATCAGATTAATCCATAATTGAAATAATCTTCAACTAATTTAGTAATTGATTAATCATTAACCGGAGTATAGAGACTCTAAAAACACGCCTTTAGCTGACAGAGTGACCAACTTGGAGCAGAAATTATACCAAAATTGTAAAAAAAAATATATAAATATTTTGCATTCAAGACAGAAAAATATTGTTCGTCTGTCAATACGCTCTATCCAGGTCTCCTAAAGTGGAAAATGTTTTAGTTTCACCTGGTGAAATTTAGTAAAAAGTCTTTAAGTAAGCTTTGGCAATCTGATTATTAATCAGAGAAATAATCAACATCATTTGTTTGCAAAAATTCTTTATTTGCAGCCCAAATTAGCATTAAGGGTGCACTGACTGGTCGGCCGACAGGCCTCGATTTTGGTCTTTTCTGAGAGATTGTGATCGGCCAAGACTTACATGTGAAACTGATCTGTTCACCAAATCTAACCTACCTTTGTAAAGCTCTGAAAACCACCCACTCAATGCCTGAAACTTTATATTTTAGAGCAGTTATTTCAGAAGTTGTTTTTTCAGTAAGATGGGATTGGAATATCTTGTCTTCTGATCTTACAACTGACAGTGTCTTTTATAAGAAATCTATAACAGTGAAAATTTGAATCTGTATGTCAGGATGATCAGCAAGAAACTTGTAATCAGCGGACCCCTAATTAGCATCGGATACAGAATTTAAATTTTTTTAATTTCTAGACTTCCTTTCAGCCAAACCATCCATCCTACTTATTTATCCCATTCTTTTCCAACACTCACTTATCCTGCAGGTTCTACGTTTAAAGCAAGATTGCTAAAAATGTTCCATGCATTTATTGTAAATAGTCTTCTTTTAAAACAAGCAAACAGTATTTCGATTATTCCTCATAGTTTATCTTTGGGTGTACCTCAGGTCCAGAAAAGGTGTATGGAGGTTTGGGGCTCAGAGGAGGCGCTGGAAGAAGCCAGAGAGACGAGGGAGGAGAACAAAGAGGTCCAGAAACAAAAGCGCTTCAACAAAAAAGTCAAAGGTTGGATTTTCCTTTTTAGTGGAAAATCCCTCAGGAGTCGAGCCTTTTCACATTACGTGATGCTAAATATTTATGCATTGTGTGTCAGATCTGCGCAGGGCCGTTAGAAGCAGCATGTGGACCAAAAAAACCACCACTCACCAACACGAGTACGGACCAGAGGAGGTGGTGGACCCAGAGGAGGACCTTTACAAGAAAACCTGCACTACCTGTGGACATGAACTCACTTATGAGAAGATGTAGACATCTTCACTCTCTAAATAACAAATGGACTACGATATCTGGTGCTTCTTCAAAGAACAGTGTCATATTTAAAACTCTTGAGTACAGCATTAAAAATATCCTGATTGGAAATATGCAAGATTTTTATACTTTTATTAAACAAGGCTTGCAATCCACATATGGAATGTCAACCAGGACAAAAACACATTTTTAAAGTTCTTCTATATATATATATATATATATATATATATCTCTACATCTACAATCTTGTTGGCAGATAACCTCTAAAATTAATTTGACATATAAAGAAACCCAAAATCTTTTTTTTTTTATATCAACCTGCTCCAAATTTATCAGTTTATGCAGTTCTCCTAAACCTCTAGAGCTACATTAATGAGATCAGATAAGCAGGTTGACTTTACCATCCATGTGAATGAAGGTAGTTTTTGGATTCAATTTAAATGTGTCAGATCACAGGATAGCTGGATTTAAATCCATGCCACTTTAGATAATGTGCATTAATGAAAAGCTTGACAGAAGAGGATTAGGTGTGCAGAAGTCCAACCAGTAGCCTCCATGTTGCTCCTACTCCACCACTGAGCCCATACCTTAATTGGTAAAAGTCTTAACTGCATTTCTTTACTGCCACTTCAACTATGCACTCCTTTGTCTATTACTATAAAATAAATGAACACTACAGTTTAATATAATATAGATTTGTTAGGCAAAATCCCAACTGAATAATTATCAAACAGAATGTTGCAAAAGATTCAAATTTTTTATTTTTTTTTTTTAACATGCAAACTTAAATATTTTATCCAATAGACCAGGCATCCCCAAACTTGGTCCTCAAGGCCCCCTGTCCTACAGGTTTCCTTGCTCCAGCACAGCTGATTTTAATTGACAGCTGATTAACAGGCTTTTGGTCTACTGCAATCATAACCAGCTGTGCTGAAGCAGAGAAACCTCTAAAACCTGCAGGACAGGGGGCCTTGAGGACCGAGTTTGGAGACGCCTGGTCTATTGGATAAAATCTTTTGAAGTTTGCATGTAAAAAATGTAATTGTGAATCTTTTGCAATATTCTGTTCGATAATTATTCAGTTGGGATTTTGCCTAACAAATCTATATTATATTAAACTGTAGTGTTGGTCATTTATTTTATAGCTCTAAAGCAGGCATACTCAAAGTTGGTTTTCCAGGGCCGCTGTCCTTTAGGTTTTAGAGGTTGTCCTGCTTGAGTACAGCCGATTCTGATTGTGGTTCAGCAAAAGTCCTGCTATGCCATGGTGGGGAAACCTCTAAAACCTGCAGACATCAGCCCTGGAGGAGCGACTTTGGTCATTCCTGGTCTAAAAGTAACGTTGCTATAAATTTAATGGTCAGTTTTAATAAAAATGAATTTTTTCTTTGAAATAAATTTTATATAAACTTTTTAATACTGGCTTTTTGTACTTTGTTTTAGTTCAACTGATCAATTCCTTCAGAGCATTTGAGCAAACAGTAGGTAATGCCAACATCTCTGCAGTGTGGGGACTACAAATTTGACATTTGTGATGAGGGTACTGCTGCTGCGCCTCCTCAAATGGACTTGTCACAGTAGTAGTGAGAAGTTCAGCATCCATTCTTTGCCTGCTTTGTGCGTCAGCTGTCAGTTGCAGACAGAGCATACAGGCAGTAGAAGCTGGAGAAATCTGGACCCGTTTGAATCCATAGCCAAAATTTATCCAACTTATCTCCTCCCCCCCCGGCCGCAGAAATCTAATTCTTTGTGTTCAGTCATACCGAAGCTACTTGAATGTTTACATTTTTATTTTTTTTTTGGTGCATTTGAACTTTAGATTTCCAAGCTTGGCTGCCTTAAAAATTAGAGTTCCAGGGTTTGTTAGTAAGAACAGAAAAACTGTTTATAAGATTTGAGAAATTAAATGAAATAAATTTGTATTAGTTTACAAAGATCAGCTGCAGAAAACCTTGATTTTACACAGCATTTTTTGGCCTACACAATCATGCTGGAAGCAATTAATTTGGCAGATTCTAGTTCTGAAAAAAATGGAAGATTGGGATGACAAATGAAAGTCTGTAGAGACTGAAGCAAAAAACATGCTAGAGAAGATTCACAGGACACACAAGTAGGCATCTCAGACCCGTCCAGGACATTATAGACTCCTAAAGAACATAGGTTGATTGTTGCCCAATGGTTCAATGTTTAAACAGTAAAAGTTGGATCTTATATCCTACATCAAGTTTCCAGTCTGCTGATTTGGAGACTGAAGGTGAGTTTTCTAATTTCAATAGTGCAGCAGGGGTCCTTCTGCAAATGTACTACTAGTCTCAGATGATTTATTACAAACCTTTTTCAAAGGTGTTATAGTTAACCATGTAAGACTTTACATTATAGGTCAGAAAGGTACCCCTATGCAAACAGTTTATATTGCCACTCACCATCTTCCTACCATGATGCAAAGGAGCCTCAAGAACAGATATAGTATATATCCACTTTAGAATTTGTTGCATGCGACATTCTAGTTCTAAGAAATTAAACTACAGTTAGCCATGATTGAAATTAATTCCTTAAATATCAAAGGGTGTTAATCAAGTTGCACCTTTTGCCAAACATTAGCTGGAGAACATGGGAATTTCCCCTCCAACAATTAAGCCCTTTGATCCACTCGAGCTGTATGAATCTATCCAGAATCAGCACCATAAGCTACAGTTTATATGCACAACTTTATTTACTTTTTCAAATTTATCAAAAAGAATTTAAAATTCAAAGGTCTTCTTTACATCAGAAGTCTGAAATAGATTCTGTGTTGCATCAACCTGGACTTCCTCAACATCATCCTAAAATAGAAGTGAAACAGAAATTACTTAACACAGTAGTCAGATTTTCAAGTTTCCTGTACAGAGACCTACATCGTTGAAGTACTTCTGGATGAGGTCATGTGCAGACTGGTACACCATCTCATTGGGATGGTTCTGCAGCACCTCAAGCCGTTCCAGTCCTCCCAGCTCTTCTATCAACAGACAAAGCTTTTCGGTTTCTCCAAGCTTCTCTGCAGCCTGATGAGACAAATCAAGGCTGATTAAATCTTTGCTTCTGATCTTCTGTATCACAGGAGTTCCCACTCACCATGAATATGTTGTTGACAGCTTCCAGTAGGACCAGGATGACTTTGGCATCCTTGACCTGTAGTAGGTTGATTATGGCTTCCAAGGCTCCACTCTGCACCAGCTTGACCACCTGCTCTACAGTGCCCCCACTGGTAAAGTTAGTCACTGCCCAAACAGCTTCCTTTTGAGTCTTGAAGTCACCCTTTAAAGAGTAAAGTCATAATTTGAGATTGTGGATAGTTTAATTGCACAAGAAAAACCTTGGAAGACTTGTGGGACTGTAGAAAAACGTTATCGCTTTATTAATCTCATTCGTGATACATCTATTGAAAACTGAAAGGATAAGTCAACAATGTTATGAGAGAGTCATTGGGAGTTAATTTGACCATTCTCTCCATTGTGTTAAAGTGCAATCATTAAAGCTATGGGGAACGGGTAACCAATTAAAAATCAGCGGGGTCTGAATAAAGAAAATCAACTAGTAAATGTTTGGAGACATTTTAATTATAATCTTACTTTAAACAGAATTTAACACCGAAATAAAATGAGGCGTTTAGACATTTTATGTTATACATTGACTTTTTAAATAAAAAAAAAAAATAAAAAATCTTAAGAGTGTTTTTTTTTAAATGGAGAAGAATCGTTCAGTTGGTATATAGACAATTTCCTGATTCACATATTTTATAAAATACCTGAACTGACCAAATGTTTTTTTTTTATGGTTTAATGAAAGCAGTGGGCTTTAGGCTGACCTGCTAGGCTTATAAACCCGGGTTTGAATGGCAACAAAGCCAATCTCAAGCACATTTTAAGGTGCTTGTTTTGAGCCTGGATTGATATTTTCGATAATGTTCATGGTGGCGAATCCTGCTTCACAGCAGCAGGTTGAGCCAAACGTACTCAAAAGGAGCAGAGTCATCTTTGAGGACGCCGTTTCACTTTCGCTAGTTCCCTGCAGTTCTTCCAGCAGTCCACACTTTCTCTGCTCTTTCCTCATCTTCTCCTCCTTTCCCATCACCAGGCTTGCCACAGGTTTGCCTGTCGTGTCTAAAAGTGTCTCACCACAGTTACCCAAACCGACAGCTCATTGGCCAATTTGTATCACATAGCCTTGTCCCGGACTATCCAGAGGGCTTTACCATATTAACAGGAGAAGCAGCACAAGTGAAGTTATACACTGTCATCGGACAACATGCTGTAATTTATAAATGTTTTAAATCAGGTTGGGTCTGGATTAGCCAGCAGGTGGGTCCACTAATCTGTGACCTCTGCTATAGGGTATCCACATTTAGCATAAATTGTCTTCCACTTGATCTTTTAGATATTATGGTACCAACAAGCCAATTTCTCCACTGTAATAGAGCAGTGATTGGACATTTTGAAATGGCCAAAAAAATAAATAAATCTTTACGACCACCAAAACAATAAGTGTGCACATTACTTACATTTCTGAGCACTTCTACAAGAGGAGGAAGCAGGCCACAAGTGATGAGCTGCTGGATTTGCTTACACGGTCCTGCTGCAATGTTTGACAAAGCCCATGCTGCCTCCTTCTGCACAGTGGGTTTTGGGTGCCTCAGCAAATTTGGTAGGACATTAAGAGCACCAGCGTCGATGGCCATCTGGGTGTGCAGGTTAGAGCCGCTCACTATGTTTCCAATGGAGCGAAGCGCTGGGGTCTAGAGATCAAAATAGGAGCAAGAAAATTCCATCTGGCACATTAATTAAGCAAAGTTAATCACTCCTCAGGCTTGGACTGTTACCACAATGCTGAGCTCCTTGCTGTTCATAAGTTGCACGAGTCGTGGGACGATGCCAGTCTTCACGACTACATCAATACGATCATTACTGCCATCTGAGAGATAAGAGATTGCCCAGCATGCATCAGACAATATGTCTTTGTCACTAAGGTGGAGCAGCTGGATAAGAGCTGGAAGCATCTGCAAGAAATACAGCAAGTCTCTTAAATACAAATTTCACACTGTAAGCAAATATTTAAGAACACCCCACACACACACCTGCTGAACTGCAGACAGTGGTGGACAAGGGTTCTTGTTTCGGCATAAGTTTGACAACGTCCAAGTGAGGTTCCGCACGTAGCCAACCT